TTGGTTTTGGAGATATGTTTTTGAAAGCAGTTCAAACATTGTATCATGGGTGTAATAGTTCTGTCAAACATGCTCATGGTACCTCACAAAGATTTGATATTCATCGTGGCATTAGGCAAGGATGCCCTCTCTCTCCTTTTTTATTTTTGTTAGTCACTCAGGTTTTAGCATCGCATATAAAAAGAAATTAATTTAATGGTATCACAGCTTTAGGTGTACAGTTTAAACTTAGCCAGTTTGCTGATGACACTACAGTGTTTTTGAAAAACAAATTTGAAGTACCAAAAATAATTAGATATATTGAGGAATTCACTGGTGTTTCAGGCCTTAAAATGAATTTAGATAAATCTGTATTATTTCCCCTCAAAGATTGCTCCTCTTCAGAAATAGAGAATATTACAGTTAAACATAAATTTAAATATTTAGGTGTAATACTTTGTAAAAACGAAAGAATTTTGAACCAATTATTGAGAAAACTAAAAAGAAATTGAATTTGTGGTTAATGAGGGACATCTCAATATTTGGGAGGGTATTATTGTCAAAGGCGGAAGGTATATCTAGATCTGTCTACACATCATTATCGTTAGATGTGCCTCCCAAGATTATTAAAGATCTAGATCAGATTCTTTATAACTTTATTTGGAGAAAAAAAACACATTATTTAAAAAAGGAGGTAATTTGTAATCCTAAAGAGCAAGGGGGACTGGAGGTCTTAGATTATAATACTCTCAATGACACTTTTAAAATTAAATGGTTGATAGAGTTTATGAAGAATAGAGAAAGTCCTTGGAATGTATTTCCTAATTATATATTTAATACTCTTGGAGGCATAGACTTTTTGTTGAAATGTAATTTTTCTGTTGATAAAATTCCTGTTAAATTGGCCGGTTTTCACAGACAAGCCCTGCTAGCATGGAAATTGATGTATAAGCACAATTTTTCACCCCACAACTATTTCATATGGAATAACAAGGACATATTATTTAAAAACAAATCTTTATTCTATCATATTGGTTCAAGGAAGGTATTCTTTTAGTAAGACAGTTAGTTAATTCCCATGGGTACTTGTTGTCGTATACTGAATTTCTTCAGAAATTCCAATTACCAGTTAATTGTCGTATACTCAATTTCTTCAGAAATTCCAATTACCAGTTAAACCAAGAGAATTTGCTATTGTTTTTGACGCAATTCCAAATAGTGTGATGTTACTTTTAAAAAACTGTATCTCAGAAGAAATCAGCATGGTTAATCCTTGTGGTAACATTTTCATTGAAAATGTCGACGTTTTAAAACAACAGTGTAGCAATAAGATTATAAGGAATGCTCTTTGCTCTGTGTCCCTACCTGCAGCAAGATTTTTTTGGTCTTCTTTATTTGGTAATATCTCTTGGGTTAAAGCATGGAAACTGCCAAATAAGTTTTGTATCAATAACAGAATAGAGAAAGTCCTTGGAATGTATTTCCTAATTATATATTTAATACTCTTGGAGGCATAGACTTTTTGTTGAAATGTAATTTTTCTGTTGACAAAATTCCTGTTAAATTGGCCGGTTTTCGCAGACAAGCCCTGTTAGCATGGAAATGGATGTATAAGCACAATTTTTCACCCCACAACTATTTCAAATTATTTAAAAACAAATCTTTATTCTATCATATTGGTTCAAGGAAGGTATTCTTTTAGTAAGGCAGTTAGTTAATTCCCATGGGTACTTGTTGTCGTATACTGAATTTCTTCAGAAATTCCAATTACCCAAGAGAATTTGCTATTGTTTTTGACGCAATTCCAAATAGTGTGATGTTACTTTTAAAAAACTGTATCTCAGAAGAAATCAGCATGGTTAATCCTTGTGGTAACATTTTCATTGAAAATGTCGACGTTTTAAAACAACAGTGTAGCAATAAGATTATAAGGAATGCTCTTTGCTCTGTGTCCCTACCTGCAGCAAGTTTTTTTTGGTCTTCTTTATTTGGTAATATCTCTTGGGTTAAAGCATGGAAACTGACAAATAAGTTTTGTATCAATAACAAAAGTAAGGAAGTGTCTTACAAAATACTTCATCGAATTTATCCTGCTAAGCATGTTTTGGAAAGATTTAAGCTTAAATCAGTGGCACATTATTTAAATATAAAAAACTTACCTACATGCTGTGAGTCAGAAGCACCAGACTGTCCTTGCAAAGTTGGAACTGCCCAACTTTATAGGAACAGCCTTTGTGCCACAGAAGCATTGTAGGCTACTGGTTCAGCAAACAGTCCTCATCCTCCATAAAAAAAACAGCACACATCTGAATATTTGGGTTGAACAGTTCTGGAACAGTGTTGTAAATACAACTTAACCACGGATTTCTAGTCGTGTCCTCTTTTGGAAGGCCAAACAAAGTAGTTTCGCTTTCACAACGAAACCACAACATGGCAGTGGCGGAAACTTTGGAAGACCAAACTAAGTAGTTTCGCTTTCACAACGAAACACAGCGCCTTCATGAATAAAAGTTACGCCTTCTTTCTTTTTGTGAACATTTGGGCGGCGTTATGCAAATCTTCCGAGATCGTGACGTAGGTATGTGGGGGTGTGTTAGAACGAGCCGTTTTAGGTAGGCGTGGCTGACTCTTAACTTTTATAAAGAATATCTCTTTGGATTTGAGACTTTAGTCTTTACAACTTTACAGATCTTCTTTATGCACCAAGAGCTTGTAACACTCCAAAGAGAAAGGAAAAATTGAAATCGCATCATATGACCCCTTTAAAATTAAACGTTTTTTTTTGCCTTAATCCTTTTTTTTTTTTACATGTGTTTAATAGGCTTCAGCTAGTTATGGTCAATTATTTTAGAATTAATTATATACTTAAGACATTCATTAATATTTTGAACTAAAAGTTATATTTTTTTTAATATTTTTTGTAATTGCGTTATGTGCTGTTTTTTGTTATAGTTTTTAATATTAGGCTATTACTATTTTTAAAATATTTTTATTTAGCTTTAATTTTTTATTTCAGTTTTAGTAATTCAACTACTTCAAATTAAATTTATTTCAGTTAAAAATACTTGTAGAAGCTGGAAAGAAAACAAAGAATACTGGAGTATGTTTTACAAGAAAATTCTATTTCAATCTTTCTACCGCAAGGTTTCATTCAGTAATTCAGTATTACTTGCCATTTCTTTGTAATTATTTGTGAAATTTACTAGCAATTTCTGAGTGAAAATTAAAAAGCAAACATTATTTTTTTTTAAGCATAGTTGCCAAGGCAACATTTCTCATTTTGATTTTTAGTTTTTCATATTTAATATTATTATTATTATAATTTATTTGTTTTTCAGCTTTATTTTAATTACCCCAAATATTTTTTGTTGTTTTAGTTTTGGTTAACAATAACACCAGGTCAGACACCAGGAAGCCTCTACAGACATAAAATGAATAGACACAATTACATAAATTAGTTATCTTACCTGTTCCTGGCCCTTTCTCTCTAAAACCTCAACACACCTTTGATGTTATATGCTTGTGGCACATTGTTCTCTTTTGCAATGCATTATGCACATTTGTAATTGCAATTTTTCGACTGTGATGATTACTCATATTTGCAGTATAATTTCTCATTATTTGGACATTAGATCTTAGAACTGTGAAAAGAAGGGCCTACAAGGACCATAATTTTTCTTTGAGTAACATCTTTATTTCGGAAGTTCTGGACCCCCAGAATATCCGGCTTTAGAAATTTACACCATTACTCTGTGTGCACAAAATGATACAGTCAATGTCATAAGCAGGCATTTGTAAGAAAAATGAGAGTGACACAAACATTATCGTTAAGCATTTTAATTTAGATTTAGAGGTGTTTACATCTAAACAGCAAATTTATTGTCAGTTTCTAAAAGTTCACACATAATTAAAAAGCAAGAATATACAACGCTACATTACATTGTAGTGTCGAATAATACACTAATAATTCTGTGCTTAAAAAAATAGTAACCTATATGAGTTTCAATATATTTAAAATATTTTTCAAAATAAAAGGAAGACAAGATATACACAAACAGTCAGGTTCATCTACAGAATGGATCTGTACAGCAGAGCAATTCCTATTATCCTACTGGCCAAAAAAAACCCCCAACATAAATGACAAAATAATTGGAAAAAATGAAGAAGAGTTCCTGCCACAATAACCTCCCTACCTTCACAAAAATGTCATTTCTAGAGCTGTATCAGTACGTGTCCGGACTAAACTCATTCTCCTTTTAAATGGGCAATAAATAATCAGGAAATCCTTTTATTTATTTAGAAATAAAATATTCTGTAAACACGACTTGAACACTTCTTAAAACTGAAACAGCTGGACCTCACTTTTACAGAAGGCGATATGATAAAAAAAAAAAAAAAAAAAGATCACAGTTTTGCTGTAGATCAATAGTGAAATATGAAATGCTTACATTCTACCTAAAACTGATCCTATTTTCTTCTATTCCTCTCTCAAACAGTGAGGACCACAAATTAAGGGGTAATCTGAAACCCTGTCTTGAATAAAGTGGGCCAAAGCCAAAGTTATGAATAAAAAAAAACTTGTGCCTTAAAGTTTCTAACATTATGAACGTTCCAAAGAGTCAAACTAAGCGAAAAATTACAGCAGCCTATACAAACATACACAAATACACAATTATCATTCAGGCTCAGGCCTTACTCTTGCAGTTCTTCTGTCTGCCCTGCTATGCTCAGTAACTAACACTTACTGTAGTATTACTGTATTTATTATTGTCACATCATTATTATTACTATTATTTTTAACTTTGTTACACTTCCCTGAAAGGAAATAACGTTTATCATACGAAGTAAAAGCAGAAAAAAGGCCATTCAGAGAGTAGAGAGAGGAATATCTGCCATTGGCACAAGTAACATCCTCTAATAAGTCCTTCATCGCCTCTCTGTCTTGGCACATGGGTCCCCTAAAGTCCAGGAGAAATACTGCATCTGTCCCCCAGGGGTCACCCGTCCCACACGTCAGTGGGTGGACAACTGAGAAACGGTTTGTTTTGATTGGTTTCTGAATGCTCCAGGCGTCCCTGTGCATCTGAAGAAGTACATTCATAGTAAAAGCAGTCTGAAGGAGCTCTTGACACCCTGAGGCTCCTCACCCAAAAAACAGCCATTTCTTCCCAATATCCACCGGCCTTTAAGTGCTTCATTTTCCAGTTAAAAGACACTGTTAAGGACGATGGAATCTAGAAATGACATAAAAATGAAAATACAAGGTTAGATGCTTTGCACAAGAAGTTTCTGTATTTTTATATGTTGCAAGTAACCAGTACACTTGCCTTGTGTAAATTCTGCTTTCCTCATGCACTTCCATCTCGGAGCTCTTAAACTCGTTGAGCTCTTTACGAATAGCAGCCTAAACAAACAGGTTAGAGTTGGGTGATCACGTGTAGAGCAGATATAGATCAATAAGCAAGACATTTAAAAGAAATCAGTGTCTTTTGAGACTATTTATAATCTAAAAGACAAATGATATATAAAGATCTCTAGATCTTTATATAGACACAAATGTGTGTGTGGTTGCAATTTTTATTTTGTAGATGTACCTTGTCTGCGGGAGTGAGTTTGGTCCATGGCTTGTCAGCACGGCGGTCGTAGTCCTGAGCGCATGTGACCTCCACGTACTCGTGGAAACGTAATATTTTTCTAGCCTGTAGTTCGGCAACAGTCGGTCGTTGACTCAACTAAAAAAATAAAACAGACAGAGGCATGTCACAAATGCTGTCAGTTTGATAAAAATTCCTTGGAGCATTATTAGATTAATTCTCAATTCTTGCTAAAATCAACATTAATGTTATATTCCAGGTCAAATGTCATGCGAGCAAACCAAATCGCACCTTTCTGGTGAGTCTGCGCTTGATCTCCCTGACCTCTGCTTGTCTGTCTGCTTCATTTTTGGCTGGAGAGAAATGAGAGATAACATCAATACCAATCCGTCGATTCAAAACCAATTTCATTGTGTGGAGTATGATAAACTATTAGTGCATTAAAGTACAAAATAAAAGTGGAAAGCAAAGTACTTTGGATCTAATTTCACTTCATACGGAGAAAATATCATAAACTAAACCACATAGGCTCATTTGAGAGAAACAAAAGCAAGGACTTCACTCTATTTATCAGAAAGTATCATTAATGTCTGCCGGCATATGAAACCAATAGAGACAGACCGAGAGTAAAATATATGTGGGTCAGTGTCAATCCCTCAGTGTGAACAGAGGGAATAAATTAACAGGATAAATGAGTAACTAATGAAACGAGGAAAAAGGGACAGAACAGAACAGAAGCAGGAAGATAAATCACAATACAATAACTGGAGTGAGTATAAAGAGGCAATTTACGCTGGAGAATGTTTCTCTGTTCCAACTCCTCAGCAGTAGGTCTCTGGCTCAATCGCCTATATCAACCTACAGCCTGTATTCACAGCTGTGTTCATATTCAGTACAACAGTTTTTCAGTGTAATTTGCATTTACGTGGGTGTGTGTGGCTGAGAGGGCTATTACCGTGTGAGTGCGGTACCAATCTGTGTGCGGATGGCCTCCCACTGCTCCTTGCTCTGCCACGACAGACCCGTGTGTTCTACTCTGGCCTGCCTCTCAGGAGCCTGCCTGTCTGGGGCAGAGGGCCGACTGCTCAACTTCAGCGCCAACGTGTCCTTCCTTTTCACCCTGCTGGCCAGAGCACCTGCAGCGAGCAAACACACATGCGCACATGCATGCAGTCAGAAGTTCTGGCTCTCTTTTATATGGACAGATGTCCGAGTATACGATTCTACTAAAAAAAAAAACACTGCGAAATGAATAAAGATAGCAGAAGGCACTTTCTAAACACACAAACACAAATGTATTTTTTTTTTTAAATGTACAAATGTAATTTTAAACTTTATATTTATAAAAAAAGAAGAGATAGTTCAAAGAGATAGTTAATTAATTAAAGTTGTATTAATTTTCACAATATTAATGTTTTTATTGTATTTTTTAACAAATAAATGCATTAGTCAGCACATGCAATATATAGTAATAAAAGCTATTCACATACTTGGTGGGCTGTCGTCATCCTCGTCTTCATCTGAATCATCGTCCTTGTACAGCACGGGCCCATCCGAGTCGCTCTCCTCCGGCTGTTGATCTTCCTCATCTTCCTCCTCCTCGCTGCTGTTGTTTCCTTCAGGGATGATGCTGATGCTCAGATCCCCCACCAGGCATCTGCGGCTACGAGGCTCAAGTTCTGGCTGGGACTGAGGGGATGGGAGGTGATCAGGTGGAGGTTCCTCATCGTCGTCGTCATCGTCCTCTTCTTCCTCCTCCTCTTCATCAGAGTAATCATCTTCATCCCTGCATAAATAAAAATCTATTTCATACAACAGGATCCATATGCGTGTAATAAAATGTACTGTTTTTGCAAGAGAGACAGAAAAGATACTATTTTTTTTTGTTGAGAAAAACGTCATCAGAGCCACATAACGCAGGACAGATTTGAACCAGCATCTCCCAAATGTTTACGGAGGGAGAGTCAGCAAGAGCATAAAAAGGAAGGCCAAAAAATTAAGTTAATATTTCTAAAAGTTAATAAAAATAATAAATAATTAAAGTTAATAAAATGGATGTTATATAACTACATTTGACTCATGTGATGTTTTTGGGGACCACAAGGAAAAATGATATGATATCATGACCCCTTTTATATGTAATATATTATTTTCTTTGAGAAGTTTAAAATACAAGTAATTATAAGTGTGTCACTATATACAGTAGGTTTAGTAATATAAGCTTGCTTTGTAATTTTTTAATAAATAATTGTTGCTGTTGCTTGTGAAACATATAGTTGACATTACAGGCCCAATTTTATATTTTTCTTATATATACACGTATAAAAAATATAAAACTACAAGCTTAAAGAGAAGGACGTGCTAAAATTTGGCTTCAGCAGTATAGAGGCTGACACAATGTAATATCTTTTAAAGTTATATTTATTATACAAAGATGATCCGTTCACAATAAGAACTATAATACATATTAACAAAATATGTGAAGTGAATTTTCATTTCATGCCAACTTTAACGTTATCACAAAGATTTTTTAAAGGGGTCATATGATGCGATTTCATTTTTTCCTTTCTCTTTGGAGTGTTACAAGCTCTTGGTGCATAAAGAAGATCTGTAAAGTTGTAAAGACTAAAGTCTCAAATCCAAAGAGATATTCTTTATAAAAGTTAAGAGTTAGCAGCAGTGTGTGTGTGTGTGTGTGTGTGCGCGCGCGAACGAGAGAGAGAGAGAGAGAGCGGTGTGTGTGCGTGCGTGCGTGCGCGAGCGAGCGAGCGGTGTGTGTGAGTGTGTGTGTGTGCGTGCGCGCGAGAGCGCGAGCGAGAGAGAGAGAGAAAGAGAGAGAGAGAGAGAGAGAGAGAGCGAGACACATCACAGTGGAGTCAGCTGTCTTAACCGTGGCTTGTGTAGGCTACTGCAAACACATATTCATCACTGTGTCTGTCACGAGACTCTGTTCCCCTTTCGGGCTCTGTCTTTACATTTATTTTGAAAGATGAAGCTCGCGATTATGGAAAGGGGCGTTACATTTCCGACGAGTGCTTGCGGTGTTCGGCCTATCACAATGCACTGGGTCAGCTGGCCAATCAGAGCAGACTGCGCTTGTAGGAAGGAGGGACTTTGTAGAAAACGAAGCGTTTGAGAGAGGCGGGGCATAGAGGACCTACAATAATGTACAGTATTTGAAAAATAATGTGTTTTTTGAACATTAAAGCATGTCAACATATTCTGTTACACCAAATACACAAAATAATGATCTTTAAAAAAGCATCATATGACCCCTTTAAAGTGCTTTTTTCTTTGTTTTGTTGTGCAGCAACAAAACAATGTTTAAAAATATATTTTTTTTATTTATAATTAAATTTTTTGATTGACGGCTCTATTAATAAGCACAGAAAATGGCCAAACTTCACTCACAGTTTGAGAGGCTGGATGGTGACTGGCAGTGGGCGGCTGACCTGGTACTCTGGTGGCGTCTCAAACAGAAGTGAGTGGGCACGCTGGGAGCCATCTGGGTGTGGGAGAGCGGGTCCTGGGCTACTGAGCGCCCTCTGGATCATGATGTGTAAGGGAACAGGGGCTTGTCGGGCTGGGGGTTCCTCTGGAGGGCTGGGAGGGTCAAAGTGGACAGGAAGTGGCTGGGGCAGGGGGTAGGGGTAGGAGTGTTGGTGGAGGAGATGATGGGTGTGGGCCCGTGGTGGGGAAGGGGGGATGTGTGTGGGGAGAGGTGGGGATGGGGGAGGCGGGGGCAAAATCACACAAAATTACAAAAACAAACTAAAATTAAAAGTGAAATTATTAAAACTAAAACTGAATTCTAAATTAAAACTAAATAGAAGTAAAAACAAACGATATAAAAAAATATATATCAAAATAAAAAGCCCCCTAATTCTAAATATCAATACATATTATAATATATAAATAATACTAAAATAACACGGCACAAAAGAAAATTAGTGACAAATGCCTTACATTTTCATCTGTTACATAAAGTTATTATATGATTTTAGAAGTCATACGGACTTCATTTATGATACTTTTAAAGTCCTTTTGTATAATTATTGAACATTGAAAACTCAATGTAACTGCATTGTAAAAAGCATTCAGTACAGAAAAAGTTTCATAAAATACATAATCATACAGTTTTATAATGGCATGAAGGGATGAGTAAATGACTGAAATTTCATTTTTGATTAACAGAAACTTCATAGTTTTCACATTTCAGATTAGTGATATATTAGTAGAATCAAATGGCTCCCATCCCAACTCACCAATAACATCACCGAAGACCAACTTATTCTTACAGAGTACATTCTAAGCAAGCAAGTTCATTGACAAAAAGCCATGTGACTGCTAAATCGATGCATTCCGAAGCCCGTGTCACATGACTTAGATGATTTGTTCTACGGAACTGCCAAAAACATGGTGTAAGTACAATGAAGTACAGCGGCCAAACATTATTTCTGTGAAGGAAGCATAAATTAAGCTAAACATGCTTTGGATTAGCCTAGCTGCCTCTCTACGAATCAAATGCATGAATTTCAGCCCTAAATCGAAGCAACCCGCAGGCTTTCAGCATGTGATGAGGTGGACTGGATTCATTCCTTGTTCTCTAATCTCACAGCTGCTTGTGGAGCAACTGTTGCCTGGAGTAGTTTATACGAACATATGCTAGCATCTGCTTTGGCATGATAGGGCATTTCCAGCAGCGGTGGCTAAGATCGGCTCAATTCCACAGGGGGTCTTCTAGCCGTTTAAACACCTGTTAATAATGTGCCAACGTGCTGCACGCTTGTGACAGCTTTAATGCCCGAAACATGCAGTTTTGCACTTGATAATGTGAGTGAGAGAGAAAGAGTAGAGCCGAAGCAGCAAGGGGGCGCGTTAGTCCCACGCTCAGGTGGTGCGCTAAAGGCATGCTTTGCTGAGAGTGAGAAAGATGAGGCTAGCGCACACGGCAGCAGATGAAGGACGCAGCTTTGGCGACAGGCCCGGCCTCGACGTTTACCTGTGCGCATGCCTCCTGCCTGCCGGCAGAGGTAGACAGGCAGGGACAGGTAGACGTCATGGTCACCCTCACGCTTCCAACAGGACCAATAGAGGGGGAAATCGCTGCCGTCACCCCCATGCAGGGTGGAGGCTGGCGGGGGACAAAAACACACAGTCCCCGGGCGTCAAACAAACACATATCTTCACAAAGCAGGGACGACTTATTCCTCTAAATGACTGGAAACATCACGCCAGTGTGCATGACGGAGACACTACACACAGAAGGTTTTTAAAGTCAACGTGAAATCAAAATTGACCCCATTTATTGTCTTAATGCACATTCCTGGTCTTATTGTGATTCATTCATCAGGCTAATCTAAAGAAAAAAGAGATCCTGATTTCTAATCAAATTATTACATGAAAAACTTTCTTTTTTTTGGTGACATCACTTTGGCCAAGTGTTATCCACTTGTTAAGTCTGACTTCACGGTTCCCATAAATGGCTGAAATCATATTCTCAATAGAAACAGGCTTGAACTGGGAAATAGCATTTGTCATGAATTAACAAGAGGACTGGACAACATTAGCCAAAAGCCAAATAGATAGCTATTTGTTCTATACATTCATCAACCTTTTGGGCATTTAACAAAATTTGTCTAGTTTTAAAATAGAACCAATTCCTTGTTTTTTTGTCATTTTAATTTTTACTTGTTAAAGGGGTCACGAACTGCCTTTTTATTAATAATCTGGTACTGTTCTCTGAGGGCCACTTATAATGTTATCAAGATTTTTACATCAAAAAACCTCAAGTTAAAAGTAATAGGCTATTTTCTATCCTATTTTGACCAGCCCTCATCAGAACACTCTGTTTGAATAGGTGTGGTGGATTGTAAACTCGGAAGTAAACACCCACTGCTATGATTGGCTGACAGTTGTGTATGTTTGACAGCCTACATCCTTCACAGATGGACACTGTTGTGATTTAAATACTCAAATAAATACTCAGACAAAGCAATAGTGATCACGTAATAAAAACAGTTACTCACACTTGTGTGGTACGACATTACTGTCAGATCCAATATTGTCGGCACAGCATTGTCTTTCAGTTACAATCTTTCTGAAAATCCTGCATCAAATTGTGCTTCGTTTGTAAACGAATCTGTGGTAAAATTAAGTGAACAAAGGACTGAGTTCTTACTGACGTGGTCTGAAACTTAGGGTGTATTAACACCAGGAGAGTCCGCTAGTTCACTTGCTTTGGTCCGGACCAAATACAACGTTGATTATTTTTGTTTGGTGTGGTTCGCTTTCACGCTGCCCATTTTGCAAGTGAACCAGAAATAGTAAACAAAACCACACGTGTGCTAAGCTCATCTATTCATTGAACAGAAATTCTCAAGCAGGTAAAAGCAACAAGTGCAAAAACAGGTGCGCACCCGATTGCGATTGCTGTATTTACACCTGCCAAAAAAGATCCGCACAAAGAGGGAAAACGAAATTGAGTTTGATTCAATCGAACCAAACAAGACAGGTGTGAATACACCTTTACTTTAAAAATAAAGTTCATTCACTCTTTCCCAATGTTGGGATCAGAAGGAAGGCAATGCAAAGACTGTTTTTCCACAGGTTGGCACTGCGCAGCATATTGTTGTCTTCGGAGCCATCTTTATCGTTTGGTTTCTGCGTACACCTGCACTTGCCATTTACCTACTATGTGCACAAATCAGTGGGCGGGGCTAAATAGGCAGTGATGTAGAAGCAGGCGTTGATCATCTTCTACGGAGGCGGTGTTTAGCCACACTATTACACAATAATGTACAGTATTTGAAAAATAATGTGTTTTTTGAACATTAAAGCATGTCAACATATTCTGTTACACCAAATACACAAAATAATGATCTTTAAAAAAGCATCATATGACCCCTTTAAAGTGCTTTTTTCTTTGTTTTGTTGTGCAGCAACAAAACAATGTTTAAAAATATATTTTTTTTATTTATAATTAAATTTTTTGATTGACGGCTCTATTAATAAGCACAGAAAATGGCCAAACTTCACTCACAGTTTGAGAGGCTGGATGGTGACTGGCAGTGGGCGGCTGACCTGGTACTCTGGTGGCGTCTCAAACAGAAGTGAGTGGGCACGCTGGGAGCCATCTGGGTGTGGGAGAGCGGGTCCTGGGCTACTGAGCGCCCTCTGGATCATGATGTGTAAGGGAACAGGGGCTTGTCGGGCTGGTGGTTCCTCTGGAGGGCTGGGAGGGTCAAAGTGGACAGGAAGTGGCTGGGGCAGGGGGTAGGGGTAGGAGTGTTGGTGGAGGAGATGATGGGTGTGGGCCCGTGGTGGGGAAGGGGGGATGTGTGTGGGGAGAGGTGGGGATGGGGGAGGCGGGGGCAGCTGGTAGCCCCCGGGGATGTTGGCCCTCATGTCCTCGGACAGAATGGAGGGAAGGGAGGAAATGGTCAGAGGGGAGTCCTCTGCATTGCGTTTGGTGACAGGTGTGGTTCTTTTGGGGGGCATGGGGGGCGAGGGCTTGGCCAGTACTAGGTTGGTGCCTCCTTGTGCGAGTTCAGCTGTGGTATATAATGCACAAAAAAAAATAAAACATCATAAACGTAAGGAACTTTGTCATTTTAATTTTTACTTGTTAAAGGGGTCACGAACTGCCTTTTTATTAATAATCTGGTACTGTTCTCTGAGGGCCACTTATAATGTTATCAAGATTTTTACATCAAAAAACCTCAAGTTAAAAGTAATAGGCTATTTTCTATCCTATTTTGACCACCCCTCATCAGAACACTCTGTTTGAATAGGTGTGGTGGATTGTAAACTCGGAAGTAAACACCCACTGCTATGATTGGCTGACAGTTGTGTATGTTTGACAGCCTACATCCTTCACAGATGGACACTGTTGTGATTTAAATACTCAAATAAATACTCAGACAAAGCAATAGTGATCACGTAATAAAAACAGTTACTCACACTTGTGTGGTACGACATTACTGTCAGATCCAATATTGTCGGCACAGCATTGTCTTTCAGTTACAATCTTTCTGAAAATCCTGCATCAAATTGTGCTTCGTTTGTAAACGAATCTGTGGTAAAATTAAGTGAACAAAGGACTGAGTTCTTACTGACGTGGTCTGAAACTTAGGGTGTATTAACACCAGGAGAGTCCGCTAGTTCACTTGCTTTGGTCCGGACCAAATACAACGTTGATTATTTTTGTTTGGTGTGGTTCGCTTTCACGCTGCCCATTTTGCAAGTGAACCAGAAATAGTAAACAAAGGGATGGGGGAGGCGGGGGCAGCTGGTAGCCCCCGGGGATGTTGGCCCTCATGTCCTCGGACAGAATGGAGGGAAGGGAGGAAATGGTCAGAGGGGAGTCCTCTGCATTGCGTTTGGTGACAGGTGTGGTTCTTTTGGGGGGCATAGGGGGCGAGGGCTTGGCCGGTACTAGGTTGACACCTCCTTGTGTGAGTTCAGCTATAGTATTAAATGTACAAAAAAAAAACATTGTAAATCTAAGTAACAATTTTCAAACATTTTTCATTGAAAAATGACTGTAATAAAAAGAATTACATGAACAGTTCACCTAAAAATGATAACTCTCTCATCATTTACTCATCCTTTATGCCATTCCAAACCAGTATGCCTTTTTCCATTCTTTTAGACAAAAGAAAACTTTTTTTAATGAACCTTGTCAATGAAATGAGTTGATCCAGTTCACAAAACCAGTCAAAATAATTCCTTCTCAACTCCTTGATTTGGACATTTTCACTTAGGGGTGTACTCACTTTTGTGTCCAGCTACGACATTACTGTCAGATCCAATATTGTCGGCACAGCATTGTCTTTCAGTTACAATCTTTCTGAAAATCCTGCATCAAATTGTGCTTCGTTTGTAAACGAATCTGTGGTAAAATTAAGTGAACAAAGGACTGAGTTCTTACTGACGTGGTCTGAAACTTAGGGTGTATTAACACCAGGAGAGTCCGCTAGTTCACTTGCTTTGGTCCGGACCAAATACAACGTTGATTATTTTTGTTTGGTGTGGTTCGCTTTCACGCTGCCCATTTTGCAAGTGAACCAGAAATAGTAAACAAAACCACACGTGTGCTAAGCTCATCTATTCATTGAACAGAAATTCTCAAGCAGGTAAAAGCAACAAGTGCAAAAACAGGTGCGCACCCGATTGCGATTGCTGTATTTACACCTGCCAAAAAAGATCCGCACAAAGAGGGAAAACGAAATTGAGTTTGATTCAATCGAACCAAACAAGACAGGTGTGAATACACCTTTACTTTAAAAATAAAGTTCATTCACTCTTTCCCAATGTTGGGATCAGAAGGAAGGCAATGCAAAGACTGTTTTTCCACAGGTTGGCACTGCGCAGCATATTGTTGTCTTCGGAGCCATCTTTATCGTTTGGTTTCTGCGTACACCTGCACTTGCCATTTACCTACTATGTGCACAAATCAGTGGGCGGGGCTAAATAGGCAGTGATGTAGAAGCAGGCGTTGATCATCTTCTACGGAGGCGGTGTTTAGCCACACTATTACATCATAAAGTGGCACATTCAACAACCTGTCATTTTGGCAGACTGGCTTCAATATAAGCGGTTTCTAGACTGAAGAGAAAGTTTTGAGTTCTGAAACTTACAGAATGTTTTTATAGCACAATGACCTCACATATGTCAAAAGATCAAGGGAATTTAGATTTTTTCAGTTCATGACTCCTTTAAATTTTCTGTTTCACTTGGAAATACATCACATTATGAAATCAATATGGGTTGCAAATGGCAATTCATGTTGACTTTAAATGAATATGAGAGATAAACAACCAGCTAAAGCCATAGATATGAATACCCAGATGATCCAAATGTGTCAACAGCACCACTATCTTCAACATATTAGGTTGAGCTAACAACTGTCATTATACCAACAAAAATGGTATGCCACAGCACTGTGCAACCAACCATGATATAGTTACTAACACAAATGGTGTCAGCAAGACCTATGTACAAAATCTACTCTTATAATGCAGCAGAGCAACAGTCTGGTGGCTGCGGTTCAACAAAAAGATCTGGACCGTTCCAGTGTACTGTGACTCAGCACACTGTTTTTATAAGCAGTAAAACAACACACAAGTGAGATGTACAGCTCTGCCTTTCAGAAGCACTGACTGACACGCTCATTGACTGCTTTCCAAATGGACAGCAGGAGGCAGTGTGGAGATTTAATATTGAGACACAATGTTTAGACATTTCAAACCATGAAAAGCTTGATGCTTTGGCTTAAAGAAAGGACAAAATAATTTACTCTGTGCCTACAGACAAATCACAGCCTGCTGATTTTCAATTTAGCAGGACTGTTGTTTTATACTGCTGTAATATACCATTCCAAAATTAAACTGAATGTATTGATAATATTTTATATTTTAAGTCAAGCACTAATAAATTATATTCAACAACAGATACTGATATCAGCAGGATGAAATTTTGCATGCGGTTGTAAGGAGCACTTTTAAATGGACAAATTCTCATAAACAATAAAAAGTTCCCATTAAATTGGAACAAACATGCCTATTGTTTTTCTGCAATAATCAGGGACAAATGACAAATCCAAGATTACAGCATAAATGAAAACATTGTCTTTAGTACTAACTCAGAATCTCGCAATCAAAGACTATTATCAAGCTGATCAGCTTAAGGGTCAGAACCCCAAAAGAAAAAAATTGGCTCAGCAAGCAGAGAACAGCAGAAATGTATTAAATACATGGCTGAGTTCTCATGATGTACGACATAACACACATGTACGTGGATTTAATGCAATTAACACAACAAATCATGTTTCTTTTTTGGCACCACTGCATGTCACACATGCTTAGAAACTATATTAAAGAAAAACAGACATAGGAGTCTTGGTAAAATTGCTCTAACAAACATATAAGCATCAGTGTGGTCTCTTTATGAGATGCTGTAGTGTGTGCCTATGAGCAAGAGCAGCAGGTTTGCTTTCAATATTATTAGAATATTTTAAAAATCTCTCAAACTACACTAATACACAGTTACAAACAGACAGAAATTATTAATACTGCAATCTTTATGTATTAAAGGATTTTCTTGCTACACAAGTTGTCACAGTATCTAACAGTTGAAGTGTGAAAGCATCTGAATATTACTGAAATTCCCATTTTAATTCTAAGCTGTTTTGACTTCCCTCACTGAGCATTTTACTAATTTCCTAATTTGCACCATTACAAATTTGCCTAAAACAGTTGCACAGCATTTTCACTTTTTCACTTTTACCAACCAAATGTTTCCACTGCTGATCAGTTGTTCCTGTTTAGAAAAGGGATTTTTTAATATATATTTTATACACTAAAATATTTTAGAATTTAAATACTGTTATAAATAGGTGTTTAGCCACACTATTACATCATAAAGTGGCACATTCAACAACCTGTCATTTTGGCAGACTGGCTTCAATATAAGCGGTTTCTAGACTGAAGAGAAAGTTTTGAGTTCTGAAACTTACAGAATGTTTTTATAGCACAATGACCTCACATATGTCAAAAGATCAAGGGAATTTAGATTTTTTCAGTTCATGACTCCTTTAAATTTTCTGTTTCACTTGGAAATACATCACATTATGAAATCAATATGGGTTGCAAATGGCAATTCATGTTGACTTTAAATGAATATGAGAGATAAACAACCAGCTAAAGCCATAGATATGAATACCCAGATGATCCAAATGTGTCAACAGCACCACTATCTTCAACATATTAGGTTGAGCTAACAACTGTCATTATACCAACAAAAATGGTATGCCACAGCACTGTGCAACCAACCATGATATAGTTACTAACACAAATGGTGTCAGCAAGACCTATGTACAAAATCTACTCTTATAATGCAGCAGAGCAACAGTCTGGTGGCTGCGGTTCAACAAAAAGATCTGGACCGTTCCAGTGTACTGTGACTCAGCACACTGTTTTTATAAGCAGTAAAACAACACACAAGTGAGATGTACAGCTCTGCCTTTCAGAAGCACTGACTGACACGCTCATTGACTGCTTTCCAAATGGACAGCAGGAGGCAGTGTGGAGATTTAATATTGAGACACAATGTTTAGACATTTCAAACCATGAAAAGCTTGATGCTTTGGCTTAAAGAAAGGACAAAATAATTTACTCTGTGCCTACAGACAAATCACAGCCTGCTGATTTTCAATTTAGCAGGACTGTTGTTTTATACTGCTGTAATATACCATTCCAAAATTAAACTGAATGTATTGATAATATTTTATATTTTAAGTCAAGCACTAATAAATTATATTCAACAACAGATACTGATATCAGCAGGATGAAATTTTGCATGCGGTTGTAAGGAGCACTTTTAAATGGACAAATTCTCATAAACAATAAAAAGTTCCCATTAAATTGGAACAAACATGCCTATTGTTTTTCTGCAATAATCAGGGACAAATGACAAATCCAAGATTACAGCATAAATGAAAACATTGTCTTTAGTACTAACTCAGAATCTCGCAATCAAAGACTATTATCAAGCTGATCAGCTTAAGGGTCAGAACCCCAAAAGAAAAAAATTGGCTCAGCAAGCAGAGAACAGCAGAAATGTATTAAATACATGGCTGAGTTCTCATGATGTACGACATAACACACATGTACGTGGATTTAATGCAATTAACACAACAAATCATGTTTCTTTTTTGGCACCACTGCATGTCACACATGCTTAGAAACTATATTAAAGAAAAACAGACATAGGAGTCTTGGTAAAATTGCTCTAACAAACATATAAGCATCAGTGTGGTCTCTTTATGAGATGCTGTAGTGTGTGCCTATGAGCAAGAGCAGCAGGTTTGCTTTCAATATTATTAGAATATTTTAAAAATCTCTCAAACTACACTAATACACAGTTACAAACAGACAGAAATTATTAATACTGCAATCTTTATGTATTAAAGGATTTTCTTGCTACACAAGTTGTCACAGTATCTAACAGTTGAAGTGTGAAAGCATCTGAATATTACTGAAATTCCCATTTTAATTCTAAGCTGTTTTGACTTCCCTCACTGAGCATTTTACTAATTTCCTAATTTGCACCATTACAAATTTGCCTAAAACAGTTGCACAGCATTTTCACTTTTTCACTTTTACCAACCAAATGTTTCCACTGCTGATCAGTTGTTCCTGTTTAGAAAAGGGATTTTTTAATATATATTTTATACACTAAAATATTTTAGAATTTAAATACTGTTATAAATATATAAATAAACATCATAAATCTAAGTATTATATAGTAGTAGTAATAAAAATACTTAAATTTTAATGCCATAAGATGAGTCATCTGTAGTGATCTGCAATGTCCTTACCACACAAATCTACACCCATGCCTGTGCATTTAATAGGGAGAATTAAATATCACAATTTTATCAGTGAGCTCACATGAGGAAGCAAATGAATTGTGTCTAGTAATTTCACTGACTTTTATAGGGGTCATGTTATCTTGTATGACATATTTGTGACCACTCACCCAACATGGTGGGGTTGTTGCTACGGTTGATTGGCTTGGGTGGAGGGAGAGGGGGCTGTTTGGTTGGCTGGGCTGGGACATTGCCCATAGAGGATGGTGCTGAAGAGGTGGTAAGGGGAGCTCTGCTGGAGGCCTGTGTGTTGGCGCCTGCCGAGGATACGTTTCGTAGTGGTTTTCCAGCCGTGCTGACAGCTGAGGAGGAGGAGGAGTTGGAGGAGGCAGAGGAAGAAGAGAAAGCAGCTGCGGGGTTGTGGACAGGGGTGCGGGGCAAGCTGTCAGCACCAGGTTCCGGGGTGGAAGTCATCAGCCATTTGGGGGGCATGACGGACTGCTTGGGGGGCAGAGGCTCTCGCAGTGTGTCCCTCAAAACCTCTGAGTTAGAAACGTATTGACTGCTGTCTGATTCTGTAAGGGAATACATAATATTCAGAAAAACAAATTAAAATGTTTATTTTGTGTTATGCTTAGTTTGAGCCTCATAATAACTCAAACTGATCTGAAATTAGTGTTACGTTTAATACTTCTAAGTTTAAATTTCACAGTGGAACTGCTTCAAATAAACGGACAGAAAAATCTGATTCAGTGATTCAAATACATCACAGTGTTGTTATTGTAAACTAAAACTAAAACCTAAACTATAAAACATAGTATCATAATTTTAGTTTATTAAAAATAAAGTTGGACATTTAAAGATTTAAATACTTAACCTGAAAATTAGTCATGTTGACTTGGCAACTAACTGAAATTAAATGTGCAATCAGCAAAATTACTACAACTAAAACTGAAACACAAATAAATTAAAACTGAAATATTTAAAAATAAAAACTAATAAAAATGATGAAAGAACATGAGAAAATAAGTAAAATAAAAAAGGAAAGCTAATTAAAAATGTGAATAAATACCATAATAGTATTATGGCTGCTGCGATAGACGGTGTTGACTGTTTTTGCCTGTGTGAAGCCAAAACACCGGCTATATCACTTGCCCACCGCGGCACTGTCCCCATCGTCATTTAGATTTTTTTATAGTAATAAAAATCATTTAGTTCAGTTAGAGAACATACACTACAATTAAAACTGAACGCGGCTGCTCAATGCAGCGTGCCGAACGACAGTCGCCTCACAGATCAGATTTAATTTATCACGTGAGGAGAAGCTGACAAGAAGAGTGAGGCGAGAGACAGACGAGATGATGGCAGAAGAGTTCCAAAACGACATGCAAAAGCGCCTGTTTTAAAAATATTTGGGATTTTGAAATCCTGTTGAATTCTGCCATTTATCTAAGGTGATGTAGCGTCTGGACCAATCAGACACAATTTTTTTTGTTATATTTAACAAATACTCCGTAACACCCCTCAATCAACAAGACAACTATGAGGGCTCAATGGACCCTTCCCCCGAAATGCGGATAACGCCTCAAAAAGGCAATACAGGCCTCTGGTTCCATGGCAACCAATGCTGATAACACTAGTTCTATTGCTCAAAGGAATGCGGGCAGAGCAACTCTCAATTCATTTACCCTTCGGAAAGGAAAACACAATGCCCATAAAAATGGACTCTTCTCTAATTAATTCATAGAAGCAGATAAAGGGTCATAAAACCCCATAGTATTTCCAACCTCTCGCTTGGAAATTCAGCTTTTCTCATTGGACAAGCCCATCCTGAGAGGCGTAAATCTTCTCAGACTTTAAAGGGCTCATGCACAGTTCCGCCTAAATCTTCTGATTGCTGCCCGTGTGGAGAGCCTGAGCCGGTGCGGGCGTGCCCGGTGGGCTCCAACTAGGGCTGGGCTGATAAACGATATCATATCGAATCGCGATAATATTTATGTCGATAACGAGGTTTCTACAACTTTCACTTAGGAGCAAAATATGCCTTTAAATTTGAAAGAAATAAAGATTTGAAATTTATCGTGATAATTATCGATATCGACTGATATGAAAAATTTTATTGTGATAATTTTTTTGGCCATATCGCCCAGCCCTAGCTCCAACATATAGCCCTTCAGTCTGTGGTTCTGTTAGATTCTGAGAAGATAGGGTGTCCTTAGAAGACTAGCTCAGCATCCCTAAGTTTGTGCCAGGCCTCGGCCTTGACTTTCCATTCACCAAAGATCCTAGGACCTCAGCTGATGTCTCTCTTAGCTCTTTTTCACTTTCCACTGGGAAGAAACTCCCAATCACCATTGAGTCAGAACATCTTTGGAATTCATCACTCTTCAAACCCGGAAGAAAGTGATCGCAAGTCCAAAACCTTGAAACCATCAAGACTTTAATCCGAGACTGCAACTGGACACTCGTCAACGACCAAGACAATGCAAGTATCGTACATTTAACTAAACGAAACAGAGGTTTAGTATAAGCAGTAGACCCCGTTGTAAAACAGCATTGATGGTTTTTAACTCCGGTGGTTCTGAATCATTTTCCATAACTGCATTCTCTGGTTTCTCTAATGGCTTCATTCATCCACTTTAGCTCCCCTTTTGTATGTCTGCGTGAGTGTATGTAGGTTTGTTTGTTTGTTAGACTAGTTTGTGTTAGTGTTTAGTTAATAAAACT